GTACCAGAACTTCCAAGCAATGCAGCACAGATACTGGAAGTTTACAAATTGTTCATACCTGAGCGGCCAACTTGATATTATCGTGAATGCGTTGTGGGGTGGCCGATTTGGGGATGATTCCGACATTTGTGTGCAACGGGAAAGCGTAGAGAATCGTCTAAAAGATCGAAATTAGATAGGTGCAAATAAGATTTCCCAGAAATTGCCAAAGAGCAAATAACTGCTGAACTAGAACTATCAAAAGAAACTATTCAAGTTTCATAGCTCACTAAAGTATTCAATCTTTTTACCTGTGGTGAAACGTTGTGCGTTTGAGCCGCTTTCTTCACAGCATCCTCATTGAGAATCTCGAGATTTCCCCAGCAGAGCGAGGAGAACGCCTAAATTTAAACAAATTCTCATCAAATCCTTCAAGTAACGTCAATCAAAGTGCATAGTATTTGCCTCGTTTTGGCTGAGATTCTAAAGGGTTCATCCCAGTTACGGAAAATGGGACTTTTGCAGTACGAGCTGTATTAGAATTGCTAGTTTCTAAAGTTCTGAATTCTTGCACTATTCAAGTCAAAAGATCTTACATCAAACTAGTTCGATTAGATAAAAAAGATAGAATCAAAGGTTCGATAATAGACTTGTCATCCGATGGAGCGAATCGGGATTACATCAGATCGGATTGCTTCATATGATGATCCGATCAGAAATATTCAGTCAATTCAGTGAAAATCAGTTTTTTTTACTGCCATTCATTCTTTATGAACGACTTTCTTTATTGCTAGAGTATAAAAAAACTCGTAGTGACTCTTCGCTTATCACCCGAATCGCTTAAAGTAAGTGGTTTTTGCATAATAAATGTATCCGATAAAAGCCAATCGAATTGAATCCGATTCAACAAAATTTCGTTCAAATAGCAAATCTCGATAAGTCTTTTGACTATAATTAAATCAAATTTTGACTTTCAAAATCAAATCTTCGCAAATCTTCCCTGGATCTAGGGCTAAAATCCCACCCTAATCACTGATTTCTCCGATTAGTGGCTGACTATTATATCAGTGACTGATATTACTGCTATTGTAGCTCGTTTTTACTCAATTCTTAAACTCACTTGAATGAAAATTCCTTTGGTTTCGCAGAAAAACTTCAGCGCCGGCTTTGTGCAATATGGATGGTATTCGACTTGATTCACGGCAGGAATCACCTAAAAAATTTGATTTGATTCTAAACTTATCTAAATTTTTAAGACGTTTTTCTAAATCTTGACCTTTGCATATTTGAACAGCTCTTCTAGATGGAAAACCTCATAGTTGGAGACGCCGATTGAGCGGATTGTGCCTTTTCCTGAAAAGTTTGAAGTTAAAACTGGTGATTTTATTTTAAAATAATCGCTTACCAACAAATTCCTCCAACGTTTGATATACAATTTGTCGTCCTTTTTTGTTAATCTCATGTTCTTCATCTTTTCCCGTGTCTCGATCGCGTGGATAATGAAGAAGAACGAGGTCGAGATAGCTGAAAAGGAAAAAACCTATCTATCAGTTAATTCTAGAAATCTTTTAGACGTTTTCTATTGGAATAGCTTCAATTGAGTATATTAACCTAACGGAATCACAGATTTTAATTGAAGCCAATCCAAATACTCAGTGTGTTCCAGCAAAAGATCTAACCAGATCCAGAAGAACAGGACCAGACTTCTGGCCTGTCAGAACAGGAAAAGTCACAAAAACAGCTCTCGAACAACCAAACCCAGGTGATTTGAAGTAAATTTCTTTCAAGATATGGACTAAATGCTAAGGATAATCTGAGTGAACAGCATACAAGCCGGAAAAAAGTTATAGTTATGAGTTGGAGTTATTACTAGCAGAAAGTTAGAATTTAGACTTGAAGATCTGGGAGAATTGGAAGCATCAAACGTTTTTCTATTTGCTACAGCTTCTTTTCCAAGATTATCAAACACTCACTCAGTTTGCAATTTCTCGAGGGATTCCTTCAAACATCGTTTCGTGTGAAAAGCTGGGTCTTCATCGATGATTGGGACTTTTGTCGTGATGAAAATGTCCTCTCGAGTCAGGCCGAATTTTGGTAAAGAGTTCTAAAAAATTGAATAATTTGGTTTTGAAATTTCAGAAGGCTTACCTTCAAAGCATCGCCAATCTCCTTTTCATTCTCATAGATGTGAGCTGTGTCGAAGAGACGATAACCGGCTTCGAGAGCTGCTTCGATCGCTTTCTCCATACTGTCAACCGTGGTGATCCTTGATAGACCTAAAAATAGATTTTAAAATAAACTTGGTCAGCAAAAAAATAATTTTTACGTACTTTGGCGGTTGGGAGGGGTCACTTTATCTTGGCTCCGTTGAATCAAATGTTTTGAGTAGCTGCATTGATACCTTTGATCTATTCTAAGGTAATCAAATTCGCTTAATAGATTGTTGAGCAAGTTTTTGGCAATTCTAGCCTAATCTCATGTACTTTAACCGTCGCTTTTATCTTGGCTCCGTTGGATCTAATGTTTTGAGTGGTTGTATTGATGCCTTTGATCTATTCTAGGGTAATTAAATACGCTTAATAAATTGGTGAGCAAGTTTTTGGCAATTCTAGCCTGATTTCATGTAATTTAACCATCAAACGCTACCTCAAAAGCATGCTTATACTTGAAAATCAAATAAAAGCGGCAATGTGAAACTTGAAACATGTTGTAAATGCTCTAAAAGTATAAGCATTTTTGATTCTCCTAGAATAGGTAGATAAAAGGTATCAATACAACCATTCAAAACGTTAGATTCAACTAAGCCAGAATAAAAGTAACCCCTCCCAACCACCAAAGCCCCATTTTTATGTTTTTATAACGAACTCACCCAATCCAATAAACGGGATATCATTTCCAGAATTCAACACATGCGATCCACCAGTGACTTGTTGAAATTTTGCAGTAAACGTCGAAGAAGTCATTTTTCCTGAAAGCAAATTGTCAAAAACTTATTAAGGAAAATACATTAAGTCAAAATCGAATTTTATAAAAGAATTTTCAAGGATAGAACTATTTAAAAATGGATATATCAAAGGCAAATGTTTTTGTGTTGTGTTCATTTTTGCGTTCTTTGTGAATCGATCAACAAAGAGAGCGCACAGAGTACAAAAAGAACAGAGAAAGAGAGATGTTTTTGTCGATGTCTCGGATGAGGGGAGAAAAAACAAAGCAGAAAAGTAACGTATTACCGTTTCAAACATTGAAATTCTGGGTCGAGACCTTATCTAAACTGCTAAATCTTCTAAGCCAGAAACACTAATTCCAAATGATTTGCCAAAACGAGAGGAAAACAAAACGATTCGCGGGTGGGTTGGATTGACTGGCGTTTATAGAGAAAAGATGTTCAGAATAACTTTAATAACTTTTAATAATTTTATCGGTGTTATGAAAGACACAGGTCCGAAGATCAACAAAGTGGAAAAACCGGGAAAAGTACAAAAACTCTAAAACTTTAAAACTTTTACAATTGCAAAAGAAACACGGACGGAGGGACATTTGAATAATAAACAGAATCTTATAAAAGGATAGAGAAAGGAAAACATACATGCGCAAAAGACACGGTGAAGCGGGCAACGATTCTTGAATTTTGAAGGCAGGGGACTTCGTTTTATAGGAAAAAAAGGGAGACGCCTGTCTGACTCGAGTACGGTAGCTTAGGTGTAGTTTAGAACTTTGGGTTGGAAAGTTGCAAATCCGTACTCGAATTGCGGGAATTGTGGTGCTAGCAAATGCGTTTTTTGCAACAAAATCCTTCGCGCCAAATTTGCGCTTATAAAAATCACTATGACAAATCACTTTTTTTCAACTTCTAACCAACTTTTCTCAATTTTCTGCTTCACAATTTGAGTTCTCACTGTTTTCAATTAGAAAACACGTTTAAATACGGATAGAAAGCCTATACGGACCCCAAAAACAGTCATTTTTGTGTGCCCGATTGGGTTTTTTACTCCCTAAATTAATCTTATGCTATTTTCAGATCCAGTGATGGCGGCAAAACAGCGAGCATTGTCGACGAGAAAAAACTGAAGAAAAAAAAATATAAATGATCAATCAGAGTTGGTAGGAAAGTGTATCGAAAAGTGTAAATTTGACGCAAATGAAATGTGGCGCAAAAAGTTTTTGGCTCAAATAATTTGGCGCTTTTGCTAGCACCTCCAGGATTTGGGGTTTACTAAAATATGACTCTAAATTGTACAATTCTAATGGATAACGAATAGAGTGTGTTCTTTGTGAAATGGTTTTTTAAAAATCGTGTCTCTTTTCTTTACTCTCTTTTTCAAAAGTCTAATTTGAGGTGTGCAATTAGCTCAAGTGAGAAGTCGAATGTTTTTCATTTCTCAACATAAATCACCTTTCAAAAGCCAGCAATTTCTCGTAAACTAAAGCGCTTTTATGTAAAGCTAATTAAGTTTTCATAAAAATTCGAAAACTTGCTGAAAAACCTTGTGAAAGAGATTGAAAACAACAATTAAACTTGGCGAATGGCGAACGGCGAATGGAATGGAAACAAACACACTTACAACTTGTTATTTCAAGAAAAGTCAATAATAACTTCTATGTTTATCAATCTATCACCGATAAACATTTATTAAAACGGTAAATATAAAATTTCAGTCAAATTCTTGAAGACGGGATGTTTAAACAGAATCAAAAACTCTCATTCACCTCATCCACCTCATTAACCTCAATTTTAAAACAATTTCTGTTACATAAAAGTTGATATCTATAATTTTCCATATGCTAAATGTTATGAAACAAATATTTCAGAACATTAAATCTCAAAAATCACCTTTCACCTCTCCAAAAAAGGATTCTTTGAGACTCGGACCTTTACTGATAAAATTTTTCGAACAAAAAAGATAAAAAAGTGTTTATTGATGAGCAGAAAAATCGAAAAATGACAAATTTTTGATAAAAAAATGACTCATTCAACTGTTTTACACTAATCAAATTCAATTTTCAGCTAAATTTCCTCAAAAATGACCGTCGAAGTGCTCGATTTTAAAGGAAAAAATGTGTCTAGGGTAAGATTTTCTAAAATTTCAATTTCAAATTTCAAAAAACTATTCAAAAGTTCCCATTTTTTCTTATCGTTTTATAGAATTTTTACAATCAAATTGATCATAAAAATGGCTGTGTTCACTTTTTTCGATTTTCAGTGCTGAAAAAAAATCGCAAACTCTATCTATTTTTCTCATTTCTCTTCAAACAAACAAATTTCTTTTTATAAAATAAACTTTTTCAGTTATTCACCGTTTTCTAAAAAGTGCTCACTTAAAAAGTTATCGTAATCCGAGTTGATTAATCTCATTTAAACTACACATTAAAGTAAGTAAAATAGCTTTTTCTTAAGCACACCTTTTATACAAACACCTCACTAGAGAAAGTCGGCAAATGCCTGAGATCAACTCCATCTTATAGAATCGACTACGCTGATTCCGAATCTGTTTTCAGTTTTTGCCCTCGACGCCAGTAACTGTACAAAAAATGAACGAAATGATAAAATGCTAAAAAATGGGGTAGCTTAATCTTTACTTTGCGTGAAATTTGCAAGATTGCTCATTCTCTTTGTAAAGGTATTTGCTTTTCATGAAGTACTTTCCTATGTAACTTATAAACATTTATCGTTTTACAAACATGATTTTACCTATTAGAGTCGACCGAACTTCCTAAAACCTAGCCTTTTGAATAAAAAGTGAAAAGAAACCGTCAGTTTCTTTAGCAGAAACCGGTCTCCTTACTTGAGTTCATTTTTCGTAACGGAGCCAACTAATGACTTGTGCACAGCTAAAGCTGCCGATTACGGGTTCAAAGCACCCTGGCCCACGCGAGATATCTGGGTTACAAGTTTTAAGCCTCCTTACTTGAGTTCATTTTTATGTAAAATCGAACCAGGGTGCTTGATCGGCTTGACTTATAAGCGGCAGCTTTAGCTGTGCATCATGTCACTAATTGGCTCCGTTACGAAAAATGAACTCAAGTAAGGAGACCGGTTTCTGCTAAAGAAACTGACGGTTTCTTTTCACTTTTTATTCAAAAGGCTAGGTTTTAGGAAGTTCGGTCGACTCTAATAGGTAAAATCATGTTTGTAAAACAAAAAATGTTTATAAGTTTCATGGAAAAGCACATTAAAAGCAAATACCGGTACAAAGAGAATGAGCAATCTTGCAAATTTCACTCAAAGCAGAGATTAAGCTACCCCATTTTTTAGCATTTTATCATTTCGTTCATTTTTTGTACAGTTACTGGCGTCGAGGGCAAAAACTGAAAACGGATTCGGAATCAGCGTAGTCGATTTAGAATCAGAATCAGCGTAGTCGATTTAGAATCAGAATCAGCGTAGTCGATTTAGAATCAGAATCAGCGTAGTCGATTTAGAATCAGAATCAGCGATAGAAGCAGCGTAGTCGATTCTATAAAATGGAGTTGATCTCATTTTAAAAAATCACGGGCACCTGGCGATTTTCCTTAGTCAGTCATTATTCAAAATTTCAGATGGATATTGTGATGAATGAATTTCTTTATCTGATACGAGAAGATCCAAAGATTTCCCTATATGAAACAAGGATTTTGGAGGCGTTTTTCGAGATTGAGTTCGTCGAATTTTATGTTCGTCGAATGTGTCAACAGCTTTTTTTAGATCTGAGCAATCTCGTTGCCAAACTCTAACCCGTGTTGTAAATTTTATGAAGAATTGTTTACCGAAACTGAGGGAGAAAATCGGAAATGAATCATCGAAACAAGCGGTCGAGAATTTCAAGCCGATCAAGGTGATTTTCTTTGAAATTCTTTCCTCTTGTTCTTAGCTGGCTAACGAAAAAATGATTTTATCAAGTAAAAACCAAAAATTTGATTGTCAACTTGGATGGTTTGATCTGTAAGTCAGATTGGGTGTTTGTGGACCAGGTAAGGCAAGAAAAAAACCCAGTAAAAAGCCAAGAAAAGAATGAATAACCTAGCTGGGATTGAAGCCTTGATCGCCGATTAAAATTAAAATAAAATGCAAAGCGTCTCTTAACCATGTCAGTCATGGTGCTTTTTTGCAATTGCTGTCACAAAAATACTGCTTAACATTAAGGAATTCGATGGTTCTGTCCTTGTGGTGAGACACGAGAATTGGGAGGCGCTTGTTTCATGGATGCCTTTAGAAATCATCCAAAATTCAACTCTCACCAATGTTTGGTAAATGGAAAAGAACTTTTTGGAAAACAAAAAAGTTTTGCACATATTAAACTATTAAAAAGGTAAATATGGGAATACTTTTCAGGTACACTCCAATGTTGGCCTTTTACTTGTCAGATACGCAACTGAGTGAGAAGGATTTGAAAGTGGTGAGTGCCTTCGTTGCTTAGTGATTCAATAGTGCAAAAATTGAAGCTAGAGACTTTCTGGAAGCCATTGATGAGTGTCATTTCTTTCAGATCATGGAAAGTTGTCGTCGTAGACGTGATCAAAAGCAAATCTCACAACGTTCAAGCTCAAGAATGGTGACTCATAATGATGAGAGAGCTCCGTCACCCCCAGCTAGAAGGTAAGGATTTGAATTTGATTTCTAAAAGCGTCAATTTTCCAAACTACCGTTATCTTGTCTCTATTTTACATCAAATCTATCAACTTTTTATCTAATTTGGGAGGATATCGAAAGATATAAGTGGAATGGAGACAAGAATGGAGACAAGAATGGAGACAAGAATGGAGACAAGACAACAGAATGGGGAAAAGAATGGAGACAAGACAACAGAATGGAGCCAAGCTTCGAGAAATGAAGACAAGATTAAGGGGATATGGTTTAGAAAGCACATTACTTACGTTACGTCCCTTCTTTCTTTCATTCTTTCTTTCATTCTTTCTTTCTTTCTTTCTTTCTTTCTTTCTTTCATTCTTTCTTTCATTCTTTCTTTCTTTCCTTTTTCCTTACTTCTTCCTCCTTGTATCTCCCTTTTTCTCAGTAAATTAAGGTATCGAATAGCTCAGTGGTTAGAGGAATTGCCCGAAAAACAAAGCAATTGAGTCCCCTCTCAATCTACTTTCTTGCCAATTCCTTCTTTATAAAGAGAAACAAAAAGATTTCAGCTCTTCTCGACTCACGAGAAGCAACTTCAGTTGTCCAATTTGTTTTGATGATTGTAAGAAATCTTTTCAGATAAATCTAAATCTACTTTAGATGATCAATCATCGCATAAACCGATGATCATCTCCGAGTGTGGGCACACTCTTTGCCAAACTTGTGTCAATAGATTGTAACTTTTCATAATCTAAGCAAAACAAAGTCAGTAGAGCATGGGTTTTTGCAGGAAACGAGTCACTTTTAAACAGAAAACAGTAGCAAATAACTTTTGTATTCATGTTTTAGAAAACAAGAGCTATATGCTAAACTGATTGACTTATTTTCTACAAAAAACTGAAATAAAAACAAAAAAACTTCTCAGAGCTGTTTATAATCAGAGAAATTTGTATTTATAGAGGCAAAAATAGCATTGATATTATCATATGTGACCAAATTACCATATATAAGCTTCAAATTGCATATTAACCTGTTTACCTTATTTTCTCTAATAGTAGTGCACCCTGAGCGTCGCCTAGATTCCTCGAAATCTCGAGAATCTCTTATCAGAACCTGTCGATGGGGGGAAAATGTAGCTGACGATGAGATCTAGTGAGGGATTTGAGTATTGAGCTTCTGGGAAAACTTTGAAAGCCGTAAAATAGTCATCAACTCGGCTTGCTCGCTGCCGGGGCGCACTACTATTAGAGAAAATACGGTACACATAAAACTGGAGCCAATTAAAAACGATTATTTCCTTTCATTGACCAGCTTTCATCATTCCACAAAGTAATGATCATTGCCTTTCAAGAGTTATGCATAAGTTGAAAAATTTCAAATCCTTTTATGGCATTCTATTCATTCAAATCCTTCTACGAAAGCTTAGAAACGAGTTGGTGGCCAAAATAGTCACCAACTCGGCTTGGCGGGTGCACTACTATTAGAGAAAATACGGTATAGACAGACCTAAAATCGACAGGTTAGAGGCTGGCTTAAAAATCTTTGTATCAACTAAAAATAAACCGATTTTCCTACTTGATTTAACATAGTTTCTAAATATTTATTAATTTTTAACAAAAATAGATACACTAATACTTTAAATAAATTAAATTATTAAATAAAATTAAATAAAATTTCTTTCAATTTAAATAATTTAAATAAAAGAATTTAAAGAAAACTAAAGAATTTAAAAGTTAAATCAAAACTAAAACTAATCAAAGCTAAACTAATCAAAGCTAAACTAATCAAACCAAAAACTAATCAAAACTAAACTAATCAAACCTAAAACTAATCAAACCAAAAACGAATCAAACCTATAACTAATCAAAACTAATCAATCAAAACTAATCAAACCAAAAACTAATCAAAACTAAACTAATAAAACCAAAAACTAATCAAACCTAAAACTAATCAAAACTAAACTAATCAAAACTAAAACTAATCAAACCAAAAACGAATCAAACCTATAACTAATCAAAACTAATCAATCAAAACTAATCAAACCAAAAACTAATCAAACCTAAAACTAATCAAACCAAAAACTAATCAAAGCTAAACTAATCAAACCAAAAACTAATCAAACCAAAAACTAATCAAACCAAAAACGAATCAAAACTAAACTAATCAAACCTAAAACTAATCAAACCAAAAACTAATCAAAACTAATCAATCAAAACTAATCAAACCAAAAACTAATCAAAGCTAAACTAATCAAACCAAAAACTAATCAAAACTAAAACTAATCAAAGCTAAACTAATCAAAACTAAAACTAATCAAACCAAAAACGAATCAAAACTAAACTAATCAAAACTAAACTAATCAAAACTAAACTAATCAAACCAAAAACTAATCAAAACTAAAACTAATCAAAGCTAAACTAATCAAAACTAAAACTAATCAAACCAAAAACGAATCAAACCTATAACTAATCAAAACTAATCAATCAAAACTAATCAAACCTAAAACTAATCAAAACAAAAATCCTAGAGTTGAATGTGCAGAATGTCGTGCTCCAATTCAGCGTGTTATCGTCAACTTTGCTTTCAAAAGTTCGTTTTTTGCTATTCTTTATATCTTTATGCAACTTTGCTAAGTTTTATTTAAAGCTTTAAAAGTCTTTTTCAATAAAAATCTCTAAATAACAAAACAGAAGAAGAATTTAGATGCGATCGAAGAACGAGATGTTCAAGTGAATCAATTAAAAAATCTCATTTTTGCTCAGGTTTTAATGATTTTCCTTTAATAAGGATTTTCCTTTATCAAAGATTTTCCTTTTTAACTAAAATCTTTTTTAAAATCATTTTCTTCAACTTTCTATTCAGGAAAATGAGAAAAAGACGACTGAAGAGACCATAAAATTGCTTCAAAACGAATTGGAGACAAAGATGGCACTTTTGGTGAGATTTTCCGAAAAATTCTTTGATTTTAGAAATCTATCAGTATAAAACTATTTGGTACTTGTGGAGTATCCGGGGCGTTTTTTCAATATCCGGGGTGGTAAAATTTTAAGATCCGGGGCGGTAAGATCCGGGTAAGATCCGGGGTAAACTTTCAAAAACCAACCAAATGCCCAAAAATGGTTTTCTTGTTAATATGGCTTTGCCGCTGCTTGCGTTTGGTAACTAAATTTTATGACTGTACCAGCAACGAATAAACAAGATGCACGAGTAATGCAAGAACATAAACATAAACCAAACATAATAATTAAATAAATTTGTGAAGTAAAACAGTGACTATTTGTAACAGTGACAATGAATACCACTTGTAAATCTATAGAATTTATCTATAGAATCTATAGAATTTACTTCTAGGCCAGGAAGCCAAAAGCGAGCAATATCCTTGAGAATTTGCTCAAATGCGTCCGCGCCTTTGAGCAAACTAAGGCGCCAGAGTCCTTCAGCAATCCATGACTCAATCATGTGTTCGTGGGTTCCATGACGAAATCGATTGCTATCTTTGAAAGGTCGCCAGAAGCGTTCTATTGTTTGTGTATGGATAGTCGCATCTTTCGAATCGAAAAAATTCACGCTATCATTTACCCATCCTCAAGTGTATTGTTTGTCGTTCGCCAAAGGGCGGTATGCTTTCCACCCATCGGAAAGAATACGAGAACCTGTCGCAATAAAGCGATGGATTTCTCTAATGAGTCTCCGAGGATCGATCAGGCACAATCACGGCAAAATATGATTTCGTTTCCCGACATATACCGCCAAATACCCACTTTTCTGGTACGATTCTCCCTTTGTGGCTTTTCCTCTTTGCAATTAGCGTCTCATCAATTTCAACCGTGATTGATCGATTGCTATTTTTGAAAGGTCGCCAGAAGCGTTCGATTGTTTGATCGGTTCGATCGTTCGATTTGAATTTGCCACCAGATCACTTAAGCGGCTGAATATCTTTAAAAGGGGTCGTGTACAACGTATATAAAATTTTACCCCTCCCGGATCTTAAAATTTTACCATCCCGGTTATTGTAAGACCCCCCGGATACTCCACAAGTACCAACGATTTAATTTACTATTTTTTAGGTTGCTGAAACTCTTGATAAGAAAGTTTCTCATGAAAGCATTCAAGAGAGACAAAAAGCTCAATTTGAGATTGAGAATTTGAAGAAACAATTGGCTCAGATAAAGTAAAAACATTAAAATTACAGAGTTTAATTCAAATTTCAGAGAAAAAGCAAAACTAGAGACCGAAAAAAAAACGAAAAATCAAGCGTCTGTAGAGGTAATTTTTACGGAAAAGAAACCTTTCAAATCCTCAAAATTGAATAATGAATTCAATTTGATATTAAAAACGATGAAAATCTTTAGAAACACATGGTTTTGGTAAGCGGACTACCGGAAAAGAAACCGACGGCTACAAAGATTTTCAAAGATTTGATAGCTGCGTTCACTGACGAGCCGTTGAAGTGAGGAATTAAGGCTTAGGCTCAGGCTTAGGCTTAGGCTGCTAGGCTTAGGCTCAAGCTCAGGCTTAGGCTTAGGCTTAGGCTTAGGCTTAGGCTTAGGCTTAGGCTTAGGCTGAGGCTTTGGCTTAGGCTGAGGCTTAGGCTGAGGCTTAGACTTAGGCTGCTAGGCTTAGGCTCAGGCTCAGGCTTAGGCTTAGGCTTAGGCTTAGGCTGAGGCTTTGGCTTAGGCTGAGGCTTAGGCTGAGGCTTAGACTTAGGCTGCTAGGCTTAGGCTTAGGCTCAGGCTCAGGCTCAGGCTTAGGCTTAGGCCTAGACTTAGACTCTGAATTGTATAAACAAATAGATGAACCCCCATTTTATCAAGAATAATCAGCTGTATCTAATCATAAAATTTAGATTTTGAAGGGATTAAGCTTTTTAGGACTTCTAGATACTGCGTTTCAAATTCTTAAGCGTACTCTTTTTACCCTTCCCCTCTAGGGTGAGGTACAATTAGAGAGGTAGTTAGACAGGGGTACTACTAGAGGGATAGAGTCCAATTAAAGCATTTACGGTACATTTTTTCTTTTTCTCGCCGCTCACTTAACCGATTTGGCTACACTTTGTTTCATTCGATAGCCCTGATTAATATCTATCGAATGAAGGCAAGTGTAGCCAAATTGGTAAGCCAAAGAACCAATAATCTAATCTAGGATTGAAACCTTGACCTCTTGACTCAGATATAGGGCTCTTAGCCAGCTATGGTGGCCAAAAACCTAAACCGATTATCAAAATTTCAGAATAGAATTCGTGAAGCCGGCTTCTCTCGGTCAAGCACTTGTCACATTTAATCAACTTGATTTTGCTTTAAAAGTTTAAAAGTTTTCAATAATATTTCTCAATTTCTTTAGTTTATCACACTTTACAACCAGAAAAGTTACGGGGATACTGATTTTTTGATGAAAATCGAACTTTTCAAGGAAACATCTTCAAGGAATTTATCGGTTCCAACAAAAGGTGTAATTATTTGAAAACAAACAATACAGAAATTCAGATGAGCACAGTGATTCGGAGATTTCAAGAAGTTCTTCGCCTTCTCAGCCAAATCGGAATCTTGTGAGTGAAAAGTTTAGGAAAATCGAGCCTTTCAAAGAATTGACTGAAAAAAAAGCCAATAACATGAAAAGTTCTGCATAGAATCATAAAACGACTGTTTCTTTATCTTCAAATAGTTCCAGGAAATTGACAAGACGAAGATTTTCATAAAAAATCTTCCCTCACAAGCCACAAATCAGAATGTGATCAAATGGATCTTCAAAGACAATCCGAATTTGGTATTGGGAAGGTGAAGTTAACTCTGTTACGTCTAAATTTTTACGAAATTCAGTTTATCTCTGAAATTGGATCCTTTTGGAATGCAGACTTGTATCGCAAAGTTCCGGAATGAAAAAGAAGTGGACAAGGTTTGAATTTGAAAGCTCAACAATTTTTTGAGCTTACAAAAAGCTCAACAAAATGATTTTAGATAATCTCGGAGTTCAATAATAAGGTTTATCCGGGTACGGAAACAATTCTGCATGTCCAACATTTCAAAACAAATCAGCCGAAAGGAAGATCGAAATCGAGAGGTGATGGAAAATATACTGAAATCTCAAACACAAATGGTAGCCATGAGTGCCAAAATGAATTTGTTCTATATTACGAATTACTAGTGTGCTTTCCCTTGAATTCACTAGACATTCACTAGGCGAATTCACTAGACGTGGCTAGATCTGGGCGCTGGGAATAATGAATGAACAAAATCAAGTTGATTCAATAAACGCGTGTGAAAATGTTTCAATGAAGCTCGAAGAAACAATGTGCCCCGGAGAAAAAAAGGAATCACTTTGATGAAACTTGTGGAAGTATCTCGAACAAAAGAAAACAACTTTCACAAGACCAAATGAGAGGAAATTCCGACTAAATGGGGGGAGAAGGCGTCCTCTGTACGCAGAGGGGCGTCCTTTTATACGCAGAAGTGGCATCCTTTTATACGCAGAAGGGGCATCCTTTTATACGCAGAAGGGGCATCCTTTTATACGCAGAAGGGCCATCCTTTTATACGCTGGAGGGGCGTCCTTTTATACGCAGAAGGGGCATCCTTTTATACGCAGAAGTGGCATCCTTTTATACGCAGAGGTGGCATCCTTTTATACGCTGGAGGGGCGTCCTTTTATACGCAGAAGGGGCATCCTTTTATACGCAGAAGTGGCATCCTTTTCTACGCATGTGAGCGCGACATTGTTTAGGGTACGGTATTTCTGGTGTCTTATTAGCTTTTTGCTGAGTCGTCGTCACAATTCGCCCAATATACTAGCTGGTTTTTAAAAGTTTTCTTTTAGATCCCCAACCGCGGAAAGCTGTTGGTGGACGATTCAGTGGTAGACCGTCTTTGTCTCCAACTCGCTCAGCACAATCATCAAACTTTTCGAATCTGGGTAATTGAAAATTGAATCTATCTGAAAAGGAACCCCAAGCATATTTAGCTCAAAGACCTCAAGATCAGTTCAATCCATTCAATTTTCCAATGCCTCCAATGATCCCTCAATTCCCTGGCTTTCAAATCCTTCCACCTCCTTATCAACCTCAAATTTTTCCAAATATTTATCAAAATAATCAGGTGAGATCTATTAAAAGCGAATCTAAAATAAAGAAAATAACTAGATCACTTCTCCAACGATTTTTATCTCAAATCTCCCATTGAGTACATCTCGCGCGGATCTGATCGAGTATTTTCACAACAAGACTCTTGAAGGAGAGTCGATTCAAGTGGCTGAAGTGGATGGGTTTGTTAATTTGATCATTTAAATAAAGTTTCTAATAGCTAAGCCGATTTATTGAATGGTAAAAAGAAAATAAACGAATCCCGAAAAGGAATGCTTCCGAATTTTTCTTTAGAATCAAATTTCTCCCATCGCTTCAACCAAATCCCATCCACAAAACCTGCTTGATCACTTTCAAAACGCCAAGAGCAGCTCAATTGGTTAAATACAAATAATTTTAAAAAGTATTGATCATTTTAGGCTCAACGTTATTTCTTTGGAAAGCCTTTTCAACATCCTGGTTGTTTTTTGAACATCGAGTTACGGTATTTTGATTGTAAAACTGAAATTACAAAAATTTAGTGGCCTTCAACCGCAAACGAGTCCTTTTATGCAGGTAACAGCAGTAGAATAAAAAAATTTGGCTCAAAGATGGCTGAGAAAAAGCCCGTAAAGAAAAACGGACGGACAAACACTGCTCTTTTAGTTGTATAATAGTTTATAGAGTGTGTTCCTCGCGAGTAAGTAATTACTTCAGTAAAATTGCCTGAGTAATTTTTACTTGATTAATCGACTTTTTTTGGCCGAGTAACTACGAGTAATCCTCTTTACACGTTGAGTAAATTGAATATCTCTTTACATTTGAGGGGAATTCGCCACCAAATAAGTTAAACAATTGAATAGCTTTAAAAGAAATCGTGTAAAAGTCAGCGCTCGTGATTTTTTCGCGTCAATTTTTGCAATGATTTTCGCTAATCGCTAATAAGCTTTTTCACCAACCTTGTGTGTGCGTGCGCTACGAGTAATCCTCTTTACACGCCGAGTAACTACGAGTAATCCTCTTTACACGCCGAGTAACTACGAGCAATCCTCTTTACACGCCGAGCAACTACGAGCAATCCTCTTTACACGCCGAGTAACTACGAGCAATCCTCTTTACAGTTGAGTAAATTGAATATCTTTACATGCGTGCGTGCGGTATGTGTGCGTTTAAAAAATGCATTACTCGCGAGGAACACACTCGAATAGTTTATTCAGTACAACCGACTCCGGTCGACGCAATTTTGCCTGGACAGGCATCGGAAATTTGCATTTAATCGCTAAAAATTGATCATTAAATTAAAGATTAGCATAATGAATGTGTTTTTAATGCAAAATCTTGAAAAAAGATCAATTGTTGACGTCTTGAAAACATCCAAATTCGGCAAATTCGTGAAATGAGCTGGAAAAGAGTTTGACTTTCGTAGAGCTCGAAGTACATTTTCTAATTTGCTAATTATCATGTACCGTTTATTACGAACTATGTAATTGGTCATGCATTTTAGGAAAATCGAGTTTTAATCAAAAATCTGCCTGCATCGGTGACCGAAAATGATCTTGTCGAGATGTTTCATCAAATTTGCAAAATCGCTCATGATCAAGATTTAAGGCCAAAGTTGATTTTTGATAGTTGAAAATCTAAAAGCAATTGTTTACATAAATTTAAAGCAAATCACCAATTACAGGATTAATTTGAAGCGACTTCCAAATGGGACAAGCGAAGCGATAATTTCGTTTCAAACTTTGGAAGGAGCGCAGAGGGTCAGAATTTCTTGAATTTTTGCAGAATTTTTGCGAATTTAGATGCAATTTTGAGAAACTTTTATTAAAAAATGATTTTTGATTACTTTAATACATCCAATTTTCAGATTTCTCTCCTCTACAAAGCACACGATTTCCAGGGAAAAACCATTCACGCATCGTTGATTTGATTCGAAGAAACTCTTCAATTTTTTCATTTATTTTGTTCACAGTTCTTCTGAATTCAATAATAATAATAAAATCAAACCTTTATGCATTCGATTTTTAGTGATTAAAGTGCTGAATCCATTGTGCAAACAGGGATTTCCATCGGTTGAGCATTTGAAATTCACTCTGAAACTCGATGCTCATCAATGACTAGCGAAAAAGCTATTTAAATAAGTAAATCTATCTATAATCTATCTATAAATTATAGTAGCTTTTTCAGAATATTTTCGAAAAAAATCAAATTCTTAAAGCTATCATAATCTTCTCGAATCCATTTTTCTAAACCATGTCCCCATTTCTCTTTCGATCGTAATCTTGCCTCTATTTTTAGCCAACTTTTTATCCAATTCTTTGAGGATTCACAAAGAATAACGAAAGATACAAAAAAGGGAATAGATTCGATAAAAAATGGAAAAAAGATTACGATAAAAAAGGGACGCTTTAAGAAACACTATTTGACAAAAGCATTTTTACGATAACAAGTTGAGGTCGACTTAATTTTGATCCCATTCAATTCACAGCATCGAATGGGATTAAAATTAAATCATTCAGAAAAGCTGAAAGAAAGCTTACGGTAGCTTACGGTAGCAAAAGAGCCAAAAGATCCAAAAGATCCAAAAGATCCAAAAGAACCAAGTAAACCAACAAGGCGAAATCGGACAAATACTAAAAATTGGTCAAAATATTAAATCTTTAAGCTATTTTTTACAACTGAAAGCAATTTTTTTTGATTGTTTATTGGGCAAAACAATGGTATTTACTAGAATCAGCCAACTGCCATCTCAAAAAAATAATTAAACCATTGATAAAATAATAATTTTCATTTATTTTTCGACAAAGAACCTCAACGTGGGGAGCCTTGAGCGTTAATGCAGGCCTTGAATTGTTTCGGAAACGTATTGACCGTGGCGATCAGGTAGGCTGTATCCAACTCATCCCAGGCTTTCATCAACAATTTCTTCAATGAATTTCTTTCACTTTATCGTTTGAATAAAGTATTATTATTATTATTATTATTAATTGATCTTTTGAAATTGATAAACAGTCTTGATCTTCAGCCGTCTTCAGTCTTCGTCTTCAGTTCGGTCGCCAATGTACTACTTTTGTGCAAGACTATGATCGAATCGCGATGAAGAGATTTCTTAACCATTCCTAAAATTAGCAACGTTTTTGAGTAATAATATAAAATACAATCAAATAACGAGAAAAAAACCAGAAAAAAAGCTGATAAAGCTTTATGAAAGTAAATCAAAGGCATTTTAATTGACTGGAGTTGCTATAATTTTGGAGGAACAAACAGTGATATCGCAATTGACTGTAGAATCAATTGTGATATCACTTTTTGTCCATGATTATCAAAATTTCAGAATGGAATTGAACGACGAATTGCGATGAACAGATTTTATGATTGGGGAAAAGATTTATGATTGGGAGAAAGGGTAAATTTGTGAGCATTTGTAGACTCGTCGCTGCCATTTCCCGAAGAGATAAGACTTCTTCTGACTTTTCCCACCTCAGCATCTTTTTGTTTCTTTCTTCTACCAATCGATCTTGACTTTTGGCTAAAATCGGAATTAATCTTTCAAATTCTAGCGAGCATACATCCTATGTCTCTTGACGTGATCGGGCATGGAGGCTTTGGAACAGTTTTCAGGCAACAAATTAATGGAAGGTTTGTTTATGAGAATTTTCTGATAAAGTCGTGCAAAGTAGTTTTCTGTACAAGTTTTTATCGTTCGCATGAATAAATCTGATCAAATTTATCATAAGTTTAGCTGTTTTTCAAATTGGAAATTGTATGTGGTACTGAAAAATCTCCCAGGATTATGGCGACAAAACTTTGGCGACAAGAGCGACCAATAAAGAAAAAAAGCAAAATTTTATCTTTCATTGATATTTAACAACTATAAATGAACAATTGAATTCGAATCGGTCACCATTGGCGCTGCTACGAGCCTACAAACGTTTGGGAAAAGCGTCCACGGTGGCGACCAAGTAGGGGATGTCCATCATGCTTTAAGCAAGAATTTCTTCAACCTATCGATCGTTTTATCTGGATTTTTTGCAAGCTTTTGCTTCAAGCAATGACTAAACAGAAAAGTCAAGGGGATTGAGATCCGGAGAACTAGGTGGCCATTCAGAAAAAGCGAAATGTGGCAGTGTAAAAGTCTTGAACCTTCTTGGCCTTGTGGGCGGGGGCACCATCTTTTTGGAAGGTTCAAATTCGTTTTCCAAAGTGTTTCTTAGCCCATGGGGTGATTTCGTTTTTCAAAATGTCCAAACAATTGCCACTTCTTCTCTTCTTCGCCTTTCCTGATGCACAAACACCACCATTACCGATGCAAGGTGTCCACTACGAGTCACTATCAAATTTCGTTGAGCTTTGGCCCAAATACGATCATTCTGCTTGTTTAAGCTTGTCTGCATTCTGCTCATTCTGATTGCTTCTCCTTGTACAGAAAAATTTTCTCATCTTTTCTCATGTTGTGGTGATCGATCCCATTGAATCGCATCAAAAGCTGATCTGATTTTTCCTTTGTCCTTTCAAGAGAAATTGAGTCTTGTCTTTCTTGTAGGCAGTTAGTTGAAGCTTGTTTTCAAGTATTCGTCCAACAGAACTCTTCGATATGCCCATTCCTTTTGCGCTTTGCCTCACGGATTCATTCTTTCTGATCCTATCCTTGACAAATTTGATATCCAATTTTGAGGCAGCTTTTGGTCGTTCTCCACGTCCTGGACAATCCTCGAATGTTCCCAATAATCGAAATCGTTGAATTGTGCGATAAACAACACTCCGATGACTTTTTAGGCGTTTGTGAATGTCGTCCATCGAGACAGCCTGCTTGTAGAGAGCAATGATGGATTGACGATGAACGGAGAAGCATCCTAAAAAAGAAAAAGTACAAAAATGTGTCAAAATATCAAAATGATCAAAAGCAATAAAGCATTTTTGAATGGGAAAGAAACCGCTTAGCTAGAGAGGTTAAATGACGCGCAATTTATAAAGAAATATTCTTTGCGTGCTTGATACTCTTCACTCAAGACACGTTATTTCTTGTTTCGAGATATCTGATCTCACATGACCTAAGACACTTTATTCAATAGCCGACTGTCTGGGAATTTTTGGGCTTTTCTTGAGTTTTGCGCTCTCACTTGCGCAATTTTCACACAAAATCGACAATTGAATTAAAGGCGACGATAAAAACGGAAACAATTTCGTCCTAATTAGGAAACAACTTTCACACGATGAAAGGAAAACAGAGAAAAGTAAAAACAAAGAAGAAAAATCAAATGAACAACAGTTGCCTTATACAGGTTTTAACAAAAGATATTCAGCTAACAAGTTGCAAAACAATAAATGATTTGGGGCGCGAAATAGAATGAAGGCGGATTTCCGCAATACTTTTCCAATTTTTTTAGGCGTTTAGGTAGGTTTTAGGCAGAATTAGATAACTTTTTAGTGGCTACAATATGTTATAATCGCCACAATATGTTATCATCCTTGCACACCCAGTATTAATTGTTGGTGATTTTCAGAACTGTAGCTGTGAAATGTCTCTCCGCAGCGGATCATCCAAGAAGTTTACGGCGTGAAGTGAATATCTTGAAAGAGCTTTCACATCCAAATGTCGTCGAATACATTGATGTTTTTCATTCGGGTGAAGGAGCTCGCTTGAATATTGTCACCGAATTTTGCGAGAGGGGCGACGTCAAAAATTGTATTTAAACTCAGTGAGGTTGATTTATTTCTTAAATCATCAATTTAGTTATCAAAAATAGCGAGAAATGCTACTCGATTTCAACGGTGATTGATTGGGGATCACAGCTTTTCGATGCTCTCAAATATCTTCAAGAAAGACGTGTTTTCCATCGTGATATCAAGCCGTCAAAGTTTGAATGAAATAAAATGGCAACTAAAAGGATTTTTTTTAGTATCTTGTTGGGACATTTGCACGAAATGAAACTTTGTGATTTTGGTTTATCAAAAGTGGAATCTTCTGAGTATTCGGCGTGAGTATTAGGTTGTCCACAAGGGGCAAAGTTATCCTGTCCTGTCCACAGGCTTTCCACAAGGGGCAAGGTTGCCCTGTCCTGTCCTGTCCACAGGCTATCCACAAGGGACAAAGTTGTCCTGTCCTGTCCACAGGCTATCCACAAGGGGCAAAGTTGTCCTTTCTTGTCCACAGGCTGTCCAAAAGGCACAAAGTTGTCCTGTCCTGTCCACAGGCTGTCCAAAAGGCACAAAGTTGTCCTGTCCTGTCCACAGGCTATCCACAAGGGACAAAGTTGTCCTGTCCTGTCCACAGGCTATCCACAAGGGACAAAGTTGTCCTGTCCTGTCCACAGGCTATCCACAAGGGGCAAAGTTGTCCTTTCTTGTCCACAGGCTGTCCAAAAGGCACAAAGTTGTCCTGTCCTGTCCACAGGCTGTCCAAAAGGCACAAAGTTGTCCTGTCTTGTCCACAGGCTTTCCACAAAGTTTTTTTTCGTTTCTTTTTGTACTTCCATTTAAAAATAACAAATATTCACTAATTTATCAATTCATCAATATGGTTTGCTCTAAAAAAGTGTTTCTTGTTGTATTTCCCCTCTTTTAACTCAATTTCACCTTACTTTCAAGCGCCAAATTCGAGAATGAAAATGTGTTCTTCGTAAAAAAAACTATAAAAACGTCTAGGAAGAAATTGGTTGAATGAATTTCTTTTGAGAATCTAGCTATATACGAAACTTTTTGTGCACTATTTGATTTGAAATTGATGTTAATTAAGAAAGGTTTTCTTTAGCTAAAGTATCTAAATCGCATTATCGTCGCTTTTTTTTGACTAGCCGACTTTCAGCCTCAAAAAAAGTTCACAGATAAGACATTTAAAACCTGTTTTAATGTTATTTTACAGAAAAATAACTCACTTCTCTAATGAAATAAACCGTCGCTCAATTGGTGCATTTGAAACAAAAAGAAACGAAAAGAAATGAAAAGAAATGAAAAGAAATGAAAAGAAACCAAAAAAAAGGAAAAAAAATGAAAAGACTTTCTGAATAGCCTAATAGAATGAAAGAAAAATGTAAGAATAAATAAATTTTAGCTATGGAGTGGTGGGAACATTGAGGTATACGCCACCTGAAACTCTTGGCTATATTGAGGGAAAACATTTGGTAGAGGGAAACAGAAAAAACGAATCAAGAAACTCGTACATTTAGTTCACTCACGCCAGTGATCTGTATTCAGCTGGCCTTGTTTTGTGGGAAACGATCGAGAGAAGGTTTGCCACTTAAAGATATTAAAGAAAAAAGAAATTTCCTAATATCTTGATCACTTTGCATTGATTTGTCAAAGCTGAAATCAAAAATTCTTTTCCCATCAAAAATTCAAAACTCTTTTCCCATCAAAAATGTCTAAAGGGGTACTTCGGTTTCAAAAGTGATTTTCAAAAGTCAGCCACGACTATTTGTAAACCAATCGACGCGTTTCAGTCTCCTCTACAATGATTTCATAAAGAAAAACCTTGAAAACACTTAAAATCCCGGAAAAAACTATTGAAAACTGTCAAAAAATGCGTTTGGGAATCTAAAGTGCAATGTGACGGAAGCTTTATACTACATTTTATACTACATACTGGAATTAATTCTACTGTAGTTTTCGTCTAGACTACGGTATAAGTCCTATAACAACCAGCAAAAGACCGTTAAAGTATTCAGTTAAAGTATTCTCGTCCTATAACAACCAGCAAAAGACCGTTAAAGTATTCAGTTAAAGTATTCTCGTCCTATAACAACCAGCAAAAGACCGTTAAAGTATTCAGTTAAGCAATTGAAAGTTAATTAACGGTTTTGTTTTGAGGTATTAGATTGGAAAGAAAGTTCTCGGAAAAAGTTTACACAGTGATTTTTCCCATTTTTTCAATTCTTTCCAGATTTTTTTGATAAACTTGACTATCAGCTGAATCTCTTGCTTGAAACAGCTGAATCTCTTGCTTGAATCAGCTGAATATCTTGCTTGAATCAGCTGTATATCTGAAAGGTAATATTAGGTTGTCCAATAAGTAATGCGTGTTTTGACACGATTTTCAAAATATCACAAAATTAACAAAAGGACGAGCATTGTCAAACTGCAGTTTAATCATCGAAGTGTCCTCTCCTTTACGACAAAGAGCTTGCTGCACTCTTTCCAATTGTTGAGAGTACAAGTCAGCAACGACTGGCCTTCCAGCGCGTTCCTCGTCCTCTAACGACTCGTTTCCGTCCGCAAATCGTTTAAACCAGCGCTGGCACTGGCTGATTGAAATTGAATCCTCTCCAAATGCGGCACAGATAGTTCGATGGCAATCCGCTGCAGTTTTACCTCGTTTGAAATCATACAGCATTGATGCGCGGACAACAAACTTTTTGTCTTTCATCTGCAAAGCAACATATCTATTATAAAACAAAGGCAAATAAATAAAATAATATATAAAAATAAACACAAGATGCTGATGATTAAAAAGAACATATATTTGCTCGAAGCGATTTCGCAATAGTTTCGAAATAAGTAGCACGCATTACTTATTGGACAACCTAATAGTTTAAAATATTCGAAAGCACCTTGGCCTTAGCTAAGCCCTTCTTGAAAAATCTAATGAAAAACAAAAAAGCAAAAGCCAATTGAAAACGAGTGGATCCGAACCCTCCAGGGTTGGCCTCTTTGCCAAGAATACTAACCACCCGGCTAAACCGGTAACAAACACCGGCCACTGAGAACGGCTTATAATGGTTTGAAGCAAAAATCGGATTTCTTTGGGGACCGGAATACTACTTTAACTTTCAGAATCGTCTACCCAGGCCCAAACGTTGAGGCCCATGCAACCCTTGTCTTTCGAATTTGTTACGGTGATCCGTTGGAGCCACCGAAATGCAGAGACCAACTGGCTGATCTCATATCTCGGTAAGGTTTAACAGTGAAATAGAAAGATGATGAAAGAGTGAAATAGAAATACAATCTTTTCAGCTGCTGCTCTCGAGAACTTGAGAAACGACCGACAGCAACGGATGCTTTGAAGGAAATCTTGCAAATGAAAGAATCACAATTCTATGATCTTTTCTTAATGGAACCAATCGATGACCCAAATTCGACAAAACCAAAACTTCCCTTTGGATCAATCGATGACTCAGATCTCAATCTGATAGCAACATTTAAACCACAAGTAAACTAGAAAAAGTAATCAATTTTTTTTATTTTGATTAAGCAGAAAGAAAAGTCACCTTCGGTCGGATTGGGAAAGATGAAATTCGAGCAACTTCGACAAGTTTTCAATGGCACTTCTCCATTGCGAAGATCGACAAGTGCTGAAGAAATTCCATATAAAAAGATCGACCATAAACCGGTAGCTTTATAAGCTTTATCTTTATATTTCAAGTTTCAGTCATTCACTCAACTCAGTTCACCAATAGAAGAAGATGAAGAAATGACACTGACAACAATGAGACTCAGGTTGAATACTTGCGCTATATCCTTAAATATTAGGATAAATATTATCCCTATTGGGTTGGCAACTTGATAATGACGCGTTTATCTAACAAATCATTTATTTCAAAAAAAACACAAAAGAAGAGCTTTCAATTCGAAAGGTATTCTCCATTAGGTCTATGACTTCTTCCCATCTTCTGCGCAAATCCCGGATCCCATCCTCGAAGAACTTGGGAGTTTTTGAGGCGAAGTAGTCATTCACTGCTTTTATGACCTGAGCATGATCATCGAACTTTTCTCCTTCCAAAAAGTGCTTCAGCGACCGAAACAAAAAGTAATCTGAAGGAGCCAAGTCGGGAGAATAAGGTGCGTGGGGCAGCACCTTCCAGCCAAGTTCCTCGATTTTCTTATAAGTGATCTTTGCAGTGTGAGGTTTTGCGTTGTCGTGTAAAAATCTGACTCTCTCCGGTTTGAGCCCCAATTTCTTCAAAGACTCGTTAACTCTCATTAATTGCTTCGAATCAAGATCAGCATCGACGGTTTGGCCAGGTTACAGCACTTCATAATGCACCAATCCCTTGAAGTTCCACCAGCAACAGAGCATTATCTTCTTCCCATGGATATCCGGTTTGGGAGTGGTTTGCGGGGTCTGCCCAGTAGATAGCCATTGATTTTTGCGTTTAATTTTCTCGTAGTTGATCCACGTTTCGTCAGAAGGCAAAACCCTGTGAAAAAAAGTCGTTTGATTTACATTTTTGTAGCAAAATTGAGGCGACGTTGACACAGGCCATTTTGTTGCTTTGGGTCAGTCCGTGAGGAACCCATTTTCCAACTCGATTCTTTTTCCCAAGTTTGTGTAAATAGTTTTCGATTGTCGTATGGGATACTTAAAATATTTCTGCCAACTCACGAACAGTGAGTGTTGGGCAATCTTCAATTAAGGCGAGCAAGTCATCGTCGACCACTTCTGGAGGATGTCCTTGGTGTGGCTCGTCTAGGAGGCTTTCATCGCCGCCTTGGAATCGTTGAAACCATCATTGACACTGACGAATGTGTATACTTTCCTCTCCAAAAACAGTGATGATCGTGCGATGAGATTCAGCTGGTGATTTTCCTTGTTTAAAATCGTAGAACAATGCAGCTCGAATACGGAATTTTTTGTCCGCCATTTTTTGCAAAAAGCGAATAATGAAATTTGGAGCACTAAATGCTATTTATGCAGACATCTTTTACTTTGTATATATGCAAAAAAAAAGAGGGAAGAAACGGCGCTTGAAATTACAAAACACGTGTTAAGTAGTGACGCGTCATTATTAAGTTGCCAACCTAATAGAAAACTTTAGTGACAAAGAAGATCAAACAATAATTGCTAAAAAAGAAATGGAAAGTGAAGAGATTCGAGAAAAACCCAACAACAAGCAACCTTTTATGAATGAGTTAAAGACAACGGTTTGTAACTTAAAGATTTCTTCTTTTAGTTTCATTTTATTCGCTATTGGGTAAGCCAACAATGGCCAACAAGAACAATCTAATTTAGCACTAAAATGGTGAAAATGTTTAGAAATACATGGTTTTGGTAAGCGGACTACCGGAAAAGAAACCGACGGCAAAAAAGATTTTCAAAGATTTGATCGCCGTGTTCACTGACGAGCCGTTGAAGTGGGGAATTAAGTATTTTGAATTTTATAATCAAATGAAAGTTTGAATTAAGCTGTACTCATACATCTAGCTTTTTACGGGATTAAGCTTATGTTCTTACTTCTAAAGATAGTGCTTAAAACTTGCATAAACCATCAAAAATAATGAAAGCTTTCAAGAAGAATAAGTACCATGAGCTGACTTCTGCCTCGAAAGAGAAACGAATGACGCGATGCCAAGATCTTCTTCTAATCATTTGCATACATTGGGGACCAAAATTATAGCGACAACAACAAAGAAAACAATGGTATTTACTAGAATCAGCCAACTGCAATTTAAAAAATGATTAAACCATTGATAAAATAAGAATTTTCATTCATTTTTCAACAAAGAACCACAAAGTGAGAGTCTTGAGCGTTAATGCAGGTTTTGAATCGTTTCGGGAACGTATTGGCGATCAGGTAGGCTGTATCCAACTCATCCCAGACTTTCATCAACGATTTCTTCAATGAATTGATCTTTTGGATTTGATCTTTTGGAATTGATAAAGAGTCTTGTTGATCTTCAGTCGTCTTCAGTCTTCGTCTTCAGCTCGGTCACCAATGTTCTACTTTTGTGCAAGACTATGATCGAATCGCGATGAAGAGATTTCTTAACCATTCCTAAAATTAGCAAAGTTTTTGAGTAATAATATAAAATACAATCAAATAACGAGAAAAAAAACCAGAAAAAAGTAGATCAACGGCATTTTAATTGACTGGAGTTGCTATAATTTTAGAGCACCCTGTAGAATCAATTGTGATATCACTTTTTGTCATTGATTATCAAAATTTCAGAATTGAATTCGTCAAGCCGGCTTCTCTTGGTCAAGCACTTCTCACATTTAGTCAACTTGATTTTGCTTTAAAAGTTTAAAACTTTTCAATAATATTTCTCAATTTCTTTAGTTTATCACACTCTACAACCAGAAAAGATATGGGAATACTGATTTTTTGATGAAAATCGAGCTTTTCAAGGAAACTTCTTCAAGGAATTTATCGATTCCAACAAAAGGTGTAATTATTTGAAAACAAAGAATACAGAAATTCAGATGAGCACAGTGATTCGGAGATCTCGAGAAGTTCTTCGCCGCCTCAGAGAAATCGGAATCTTGTAAGTGAAAAGTTTTGAATAGAAGCATAAAGCGACTGTTTCTTTATGCTCAAAAAATTGCAGGAAATTGACAAGACGAAGATTTACATAAAAAATCTCCCCTCACATGCCACAAATCAGAATGTGATCAAATGGATCTTCGAAGACAATCCGAATTTGGTGTCGGGAAGGTGCGGCTAACTCTGTTACGTCTAAATTTTTATGAAATTCAGTTTATCCCTGAAATTGGATCCTTTTGGAATGCAGACTTGTATCGCAAAGTTCCGAAATGAAAAAGAAGTGGACAAGGTTTTAATTTGAAATTTACAAGCTCAAGCTAAAAGCTCAACAAAATGATTTTAGATAATCTCGGAGTTCAATAATAAGGCTTATCCGGGTACGGAAACAATTCTTCATGTTCGACATTTCAAAACAAATCAGTCGAAAGGAAGATCGAAATCGAGAGGTTAAGGAAAATAGAGCATAGAAAAATAAAATAGGATATAGAGGTTCAAGATTTATGTTCAAGATTTATGGTTCAATATTTATGGTTCAATATTTATGGGAACTTTTAAGCTCACACATCATTTAGCACATTGAAAATTCATTTATAAGCAAGAAATCATCAAGAAAGTTGGAAAAAAGTTGAAAATAAACTCAACTTTCTAGATTATTTTTATGTCATAGAAAAAAAAAGCTGAAAAATTGAGAAAAAACAAAGAAAACAGATGAAAAATTCTTTTAATTCTTCATTTAATTCTTCTTTTAATGAAGGAATCTCAAATGGCCGTAATTATGACCCTTTAAAAGCTTTTAAGAAGTTTTCTTTTAGATTCCCAATCGCCGAAAGCCGTTGGCGGACGATTTAATGGTAGACCGTCTTTGTCTCCAACTCGTACAGCACAAACATCACGATCCAACTCTTCGTATTCAAGTAAATCGTGTCCCTTAAGAATTGTATCTATCTGAAAAAGACTTCAAACATATTTAGCTCAAAGACCTCAAGGTCAGTTCAACCGCAATCCATTCAATCTTCCAATGCCTTCAATGATCCCTCAATTCCATGACTTTCAAACCCCTCCACCTCCTTATCAACCTCAAATTTTCAACTCAAATTCAAATATTTATCAAAATAATCAGGTGAGATCTATTAAAGATAAATCTAAATTTAATTAGATCGCTTCTCCAACGATTTTTATCTCAAATCTCCCATTGACCACATCTCGCGCGGATCTGATCGAGTATTTTCATAACAAGACTCTTGAAGGAGAGTTGATTCAAGTAGCTGAAGGGGATGGGTTTGTCAATTTGATCATTTAAATAAATTTTCTAATAGCTAAGCCGATTTATTGAATGATAAAAAGAAAATAAACGAATCCTGGAAAGGAATTTCCGAATTTCTCTTTAGAATCAAATTCCTCCCATCGCTTCAACCAAATCCTATCCACAAAACCTGCTTGATCACTTTCAAAACGCCAAGAGCAGCTCAATTGGTTAAGTACAAATGATTTTAAGAAAGTATTGATCATTTTAGGCTCAACGTTATTTCTTTGGAAAGCCTTTTCAACATCCTGGTTGCTTTTTGAACATCGAGTTATGGTACTAATGCACTTTAAAGAGCTTTTTCTTTCTCATCTTTTTCTTACCTTTCTTTCGATTCAAAAATTTAAATCTTTCCCTTTTCAATTTCCAAGTGTATTCTCCCCACAAATTTGTCATTCTTTTCTTTTCTTTCTTTCACAAGAAAAATTCTTTTTATTAGAATTCTCGTCCTATTGCAGCTGCAAAAGTTTCAGGCCATCTGCAAATTGGAAAAAAGATTATTAAAAGGCTCCCTCTTTTTTTCGATGTTGCTTATTTGAATAAAATTCTTTTTCTTGCCTTTTTTGGGGCACCGGCCCATGGCAAGGCAAGGCAAGGGAAAATCGCTTACAGTTTTTCTCTAAAACTCCAGTTTTTTCTAATACATTATTAGGAAAATGCATTTAATGAGTGGCCCCCAAACAGTTCGGATTTCAATTCACTGGATTTTTCTGTTTGCAGTGTCCTCGAGGCTTGCTCAAAACCTTATAAAACCGTTCAGAGTTTGAAGAACGCATTCGAAAAGGCCTGGGAAGAATACTACCTACTAGACATGGGAAAAATTCAAAAAGTTCGGTCGGTCGGTCTCGGTCGGTCAATAAGCGACCGATCGATCCCAATAAATTTATAAAGGTGCTTTTTTATGTACAGCTTTTCAATGTATTTAAATGAAGATTAATCTGAAGATTAAAAATTAAATTTTATTGGGCAAAACAATGCGTCACAACGAATTGGCATTTATCTATATGATTACGGGACCGATCGACCGGGACCATGTCTAATTCGTCTTCCTACCAAAAACCACCAAAAAAACTTCACCAAAAGTGTTGGGAATATAATAGTTGCTTTATTAGGTTGAGGAAAAAGTAATGTCGGTTTTGAATTCCCGTTGTTGGCGATTTTCCAGTTATTTCTTATGCGATTTTTTTAAAATAGATTTCACCTAGACACTATACTTTCGTATTGTATTTGACTTTTACAAATTTTTACAAATTTAACAATATTTTCAGGTACAAAATGCAAGACGAAAAGTTTCGACTTCGAGCCACTTTGTGATATGATTCGGTTAGAACTTCGGTCACTCCTGCTCCTGCACAAGGAAAATCCGCGGCTGAATCGCATTGGACAATCATTAAAGTTTTTGGGGAAGACAGCATTAGCGAAAGATGATGCCAAATATGGTTTCAGCGGTTAAAAGATGGAAATGAAAGTCGCCAAGACGAGGAACGGTCTGGACGATCCCAAGAGATTTCAGAGGAGGATTTGCTTGATGCCATTGAACTCAATCCAACCCGGGTACTTAGGAGTGCCATTCTCCTCTACCTCACGGAGGACATCCGCTACAGTCGCCCATGGAGGACATCCGCTGCCGATAGAACTTCGGTGACTCCTGCTTTTTATGATCCCCTCTGCGACCATAGGCTAGTTAGTACCACTCGAAACTGTCACCGCTGATCTTTATTCAAAAAAGTTGATGAGAGTTAACGAGGCTTTAAAGAAATTGGGCGTTGAAACATCAGAATTGCTATTTTTCCATGATAATGCAAAACCTCACACTGCAAAAATTACTCACCAAAAAATCGACGAGCTTGGTTGGAAACTTCTGCCCCACGCACCTTATAGTCCGGACCTGACTCCATCAGATTATTTTTTGTTTCGGTCGTTGAAGAGTTTTCTTATGGGAGAAAAGTTCGAGAATCATGCACAGATCAAAAAAAGTAGTCTACACTTATTTTGGCTTGAAAACTCCCCATTTTTTTGAGGATGGTATCAGGGACTTGCGACGAAGATGGGAACAAGTCATCAATCATAATGGAGAATAGCTCCTTGATTCATGTGCGTTTGTTTATGTTTTTAGCAATAAACAGTTTTGTGACAAAAACCGACATTACTTTTTCCTCAACCTAATAAATCATTTATTCAAGACATCTGACTCTAGCCGAATCTGATCGGAAATTTGCATTTAACTGCCAAACAGTGATCAGTGAATTAAACACGTAACATTAGCAAAATGAAGTCTCTTATAGGTTTTGTTAGTTTAATTATCCTGATGGTTGATCGCTGGTTTGTCCCAATGGTTGATCGCTCGGTGTCGGGCACGCCTAAACGTACTAAGTAACTTCAGAGAAACTTTATTATTAAAACTTAGTACGATAGGAGTAGCATGATCTGATCTTGAGCTCAGACTGAGTTCAGGATCAGATCATGTGTTCAAGTCAGATTCAAGTCAATCAAGTCATAAGTTCAAGTCAAACTTTCAAGTTCCACAAACGAAAGAAGTTATTTGCTTGCGTATTTCCATAAATGGTCAACATAAGATTCATAAAGACGTCATAATCTAGCCTTATTTTGTCAACATTTCATATTTAAAGTGATCAATCTCCTCAAACTCACATTGATTCGCCCATCACCATTGCAATACTTCTTCCAGGTCGTCGTCTGAATTTAAGTACGAAAATTTGACAAGTAAGCTTTACAAGACAAAGAGCTTTTAATAAGTAAAACAATAGCTTAAACTTTTTTGTGCTTAAACTTAAGAAACTTACTGTGCAACAGCTAACACCATGAGGAAACAGGCGAGGAAAAGAATGCGAAGAAACTTCATGGTTTTCTGAAACTGATAAATAAAATAAGCTAAAGATAACAAGAAATAAAATGAATTTTAGAATGTTTGTGAAAGGCGAGACAATCATGAGAACCAAGATTTTCTTCTTTGAAAAGAGATCAATCGAAAAAGACGCGATTTTCGCGAGATAAAAAGGTCTTTTTTTCAGGGTCAACCCCGATTTTTCCAGTTGTTAATCAAAAAAAACTGAAAAGATTCAGTAAGGGAAAGAAATAAAATAGTTGTTGTAGATATTAACATTCAGAAGAGTCAAAAAATTGATGATTTGGGTGGTTTATTTATCAAATTCAGTAAACCGGATAATGTGCCAAATGCTGCTTTGTTTTTAGACATGAGAAAAACGCAGAGAGTTGTTTTTTTCGATAAAATAGTGGGATAAAAGGGTAAAATTGATGCTAGCATTCATGCTTCATGCCTTTTTTTTCATTCATGCTCAGTTACCTTTCATTTTTTCTACAACTTACTAAGGTTTCTTTTCTAGAAGTTGCGCTCGACTTTTTTGATTTACTTTCTGAAAATCTTAGGCGCTATTTTCTTGTTTCTAAAATCTTTTAAACACTCGCTGATTTGCTCTGTATCTAACAAGGAAAGAATGATTGGGTTCTGTGATTTTTCCGATAATATAGACCATTCGACGCAGAATTTGACGCTGATTCCAATGGTGTAAAAATTAGCTGCTGAATGGCGGGCAATCACCGCCAAATTGGCATAATAGTTTTGAGCCTCTCGTTTTAATCCTAACATCAATCTAACACCTAAACATAGCACGCACACAAATCAGTAAGTAAATCAAAAAAGTGGAGTGCAACTTCTAGAAAAGAAACCTTAGTAAGTTTTTAGAAAAAGTGAAAGGTAACTGAACATGAATGAAAAAACGGCATAAAGCATGAATTTTGCTAGTTGCAGTTTCTTGTGAGATAGCTACTATTTATCTTGATCATTTATCGATAGCACAAGCATATCTAATCGATCTTGTTTCTGTTGAAATGTGTTGAAAAGGTTTCCTTGATTTACCCTAGGTTCTCGTGAGAAAAATGTAAATCAAGTGCACTAGAAAGATTGTTTGAGCACAAAGTGACAAAGACTATCGGTTAAACTTCGAGTTTTTCAACATTGCACTAAAATTCTAATACTAAAAGTGAAGAATTCGTTTCCCTGAAAGTCTTAAGATTTTCAGTGGATTATCAGTGGCTAACAAGGTCGTTTTTCCAGGCTTCAAATTTGTTTGTCGATTAAAAAACTGAAAAGATTTGATAAACGGTTAATAATATGCATGTTTTGCAGAAAAGTAGCCCCTTTCTGTGAAATCTTATTTGATGTTTTGATTTTGAATATCTCTGATTCTCTTGTCCTTCCTCTAAAGATCGTTTGTGTGATAAAAGGGACGGAGCCCACATTGTATGGCTTTTCTTTGGCTTTGAAACACTGAACCAACGATTGATTATATTGGGTTGGCACCAACCCAATAGTTCAATATCAAGACAAATTTTAAATTGCAAAATTTTTAAAAAGCTGTCTTTTTCAATAAATTTGGATTTTTAACGTATTCCACTAAAAAAAACAGCAATGATTACGAGAGGAAATTATTTTTTTCAAAAAAGCCATTCTTTTCTCTGTTTAATGTCTGCGTTTCTCCAGAAACTCAACTATTTTCTCGATTTTTCGCTTTTCCCAGCTTTTCCCTCCAAATTTGTAGTTTATTTTCGTTCCAAATCTTTCTTTTTTATAAACATTATTATTATTCATGCATTGATTTCAAAAAACTATTTAGTTTTTTTGGAAAAATGGAGGATTTTCTGTGGAGCCAGCTTCGACATATGTTATCTCCAGAAGAAATTGCAATAAAAGTGGTGAGTTAAAACAGTTTTAAAGCTGAAAACGGGGTTGAAAATCGGCATCTATACCGCATAGAGTTTAGCTAGATTTTGAACTAAATTTTTTGGTAAAACAATTTGCTCAGGATTATCGGCGAGCAATAAAAAATTCAGATCCGAATATCCAACTATCATTGAAGATTTCATTGATTTCATTCATTCATTTACATCATTGACATTTACATTTACATTATAGAGAATTGACGAGAAAGAAGCACGTTTGAAAGCGATTTTCCGGGAACATTATCATTTGTGGGATGATTTTATTTACTCTGTACAAAAAGTGATCGAAACTTTTACCGAAAAATGGATACAAGAAGTACTTAGAAGGGAACCAAAGAGGAAAACGTAAAGTTTTTATTGTATTTCCTTTTAAAACACTCTGCTTTTTATTGAGTTTTTAACAGAACTTGATAAGTTTAAATTACAGACTCAATAAAATCGAGGAACGCTTAGATGTGTTGTTGAAATATTTGGAGGAGATTCTTCCAGAAATGTTGAATAAAATTGGGATTAATCCATCAAGTAAGCATGATTTTCCAATTACGATTATTTAGAGTTGTTCCAGAACCAAGTCTAGAACTAGGATTTCACCTGAATCTAAGGCTTAGTCAGGGACTAAGTCAGAAACCAGGTTCAATCCTGGAAATGTTGATGATTCATGTCACAAGTTCAGTTCGCTTTTTTTTGGAAAATCTATTCTATTCCTACTGTTAGTTTGAAGTTTAAACTTGGAATGTTTTAAACTAATTCTAGAGTTGTTCCAATAGGCTTCTTGGACTCGTAAAGCAGGTCAGTCCAGGGCAAAGATCAACCAGAATCTAGCAAGCTCAAAGATTTTTTGAGCCAGTAAAGCCAATACATGGTCAGATAAGTCAAAAGTCTGCGAAAACCTTTGCCGAGAAGCCTAAGCCCAAGCCTAACAAGCCCAAATAGACTTAGTGCTAGGCGCTAGCCTCTAACCTTCGCATTATGTCCAAGCCTAAGCCTACGCCTGGCCCGTGGAAACACATTTTTGGAATCAAGATCTGTCGATCAATTAAAGCCAGAAGCTGACTTTGAACCGATTCTAATCATAAAAAGCGACTCCAACTTGTCTTTATAAACTTGAAATCATAAATCTAACGATTTCTTTCAGTAATCAAGACTCAAGGAGAACAATTTGAAAAGATGGGCGTTTTAGCAAGAGCTTGTGATGTGGTAAGTGTTATACTCTTCAAAAGTCTTACCAAATCTAATGTTCAGGAAAAGAAAGGTGAGAGCTTCAAGATTGAGATTCTCGACATTTACATGCTGACTTACTCGATGCCGGCAGTGATCGCTGAAAACGTCGATATCAAATCATTATGGTAAAATTGTTCTTTTCAAATAATCTTTCTTTAAAAATTCCCCTTTCTACCGTAATCTTTTCTCTATTTTTATTGAATCTTTCGCTTTTTTTTCTCTAATTATATAAGAAAGGATATCGAAAATATATTGGGTTGGGGAGAATGAGTCGGCGCCAAACTTTAAAGGGACTTTTTGCACACATAAAGCCTTCTTTAAACATACGTTTGGTTTCATCAAAAGGATCCACTATTTCTCTACAAAATTACTTTTGAGAGATTCCACAAAGCTTTTCTTTCGTGGAGTTTATGAACTTCGAAACGCAGCTGGTTAAAATGGCAAAGAGTCCGACTCATCATTTGAACAGTTTCTTTCACATAAACCTTCTTTGGTGTTTATATAAAAAAGATAGAGCACATTCAATTACTTAAGTTGTCAAATTTGCAGGAAGATCCCACCAATGGTTTTTCCTAGATCACAGTTTGTAGTTTTTGTGAAAAAATGGCTTTTTTCTTGAGCGGAGGCGCTGTTTGAATTTTCTTTTAAATGTCATTTTGTAGAGAATTAGTTAACCATTCTACTCATATCAAACGCATACTATTTGACGAAGTCGAATAGAAGTTTTAGACATTTTTTTCATTTTCGGCGCCGACTCATCCTCCCTAACCCAATAAAAAATAAATAAACTAGATAAGAATAGAGACAAAGTTACGATAAAAAGAGAAAGAGAACACGATTTTGAAGACTAAAGTAAGTTAATTCTAGATAATTCTTTAGGTTATGCATGGAGCATTCTCTGTTCATCGCCTACACATCCAAAGAAACAAATCCGAGTGAGGAAACGAAGAAAAAGGTCTACTAAACATTGAAAAGAATAAAAAAGAATATAAGCACTTTAGAAAAGCATAGATTTAATGAATTCTTTTGATTTGATTTGATTTGATGAATTCACTTATTCAAACGTCTAAATGTGACTGATTTCAGGTTATGGCCTTGTGGAATAAAGAGAAATCACTGGCGATACCAAAACTGAACGCTGAGCCATCAAAAGATGAAAAACAAAAGACTGAATCATCAAAAAATCTTGAAACAAGAAAAGCTGGGAATTCGCGAAAAAGTGGTACTTTTCCAGTGAGCCAACTAGATCAAGAACCGACTTCAGAAGAACATTACGAATTTTTAGAGGTAATCGTTTTTGTCAAGATCGTTTTGAGTAGATTTTGATCGTTTCAAGATCGTTTCAAGATCATTCCGAGTAGATTTTGATCATTTCAAGTACATTTTGAGCAGATTTTGATCGTTTTAAGATCATTCCGAGCAGATTTTGATCATTTCAAGTACATTTTAAGTAGATTTTGATCGTTTCAAGATCATTTTGAGTAGATTTTGATCATTTTAAGATCATTCCGAGTAGATTTTGATCATTTCAAGAACATTTTAAGTAGATTTTGATCGTTTCAAGATCATTTTGAGTAGATTTTGATCATTTTAAAATCATTTCAAGATCATTTTGAGTGATAAATGTTCTAAAGCATCTCCTAGCTACCATAATTTCCCTTAAATCTCCATAGGTTACATCTAAATTTCAAAACTTTCAAAATCCTCCGTTGTAAACAGATTAGCCCTTTGTTTATAGACTTTTTCAAATTTAAACCGCGGTCAGGGCCCAGAAGTGGCTCATTCCTTTTGCAAATTCCCTTTGCTTCCAATGCCTCTTTATCAAATTCATTTCCCGTTAGAGCCGCTAGATTATGGAACTTGCTCCCAAACGACATACGAGAAATTCAGTCGCTTTTCATATTCAAGAAACGTATCGATGCTTTAGATCTAGTGGCTCTTTGCCGTAAGTAATTGGCTTATTGATTTCAGTATGTATTGTATGATTAAGTATCACTGTGCATTTCTCTATCATTTCTTTCACTTTATCGTTTGAATAAAGTATTATTATAAATCGATGTTCACGATTTCTTATTGTAAATTGTGATGCATTAATCGATTATGGTAAATTGGGTTACTGTAAATGGTGATTCGTTGGGTTATTTGTGGGTGTGAAAGCGCTTTAAATTGATCGCGAAAAGTTGAGAAATGGTTTTCAAATGAAACTTTCAGAGAAGTAAAGTGAAGCTCGAGGAAGTCAAGTCCATTTTCTGGACTCGCTACTACTTTTGGGACATTTACAATCACCATTTCGGTGGTAGCATTTCTTTTTTGGCTCGAAAACTTTTCAAAAGTGATATCATTTTGTCGGAATGGTTGTCATTTTCACACAAATTTTTTCAAATTAATTTTTAGGTTTGAATTGTTGGATGAACGAGTGAATATTCTTTCTGAATACCTTCTTAAAACGATTCCGAAAGCATTAAAAGAGATAAATGTATCAATTGAAAGTGGGTTTTCAAGAAAATTCAAATTTTAACTTGACTTTCAAGACTTAACTGACTTAAATTGAGTTGAAAATTCATAGTTTAACAATTCTAGATTTATTGTTTAGGCATTAAAGCCGAAGCTCGTGCTTTTGAAGAGTCTAATAGTCACATTCCGCATTGCGAACTGGTAAGTAGACATACATTTTCTAGAAAAACATTCAGTTTTTGTTTGGCTACTGTAATTTCTCAAAACTTTAGAAAGAAATCGATGAATCTCTGAAAATCGAGTGCTCGAATGCGGTGAGTTTAGTGTTCAATGTTGCGCTTGAGATCTTCACTCGGCCAGAAATCAACACAATTTGGTGAGGAGTTAAGGAAAAGATCAGAAATTTGTCAAATTTAGACAAAACTTTGAAACTTTATTCTCAAATTTACAGGATTTCGAGTGTAAACGATAAACTGTACGCCTTCACTGCAAAGAAAAAAGATCTGAGTGATGAAGAGAAAGAGAAAGTGAGATTGCTTTAAGTTTTTCAACACGATTTGGTGTTGATTTAGTTTCTTGTTGTTCGATTTATAAAAAATCTCTACATTTAGCTTATGGAAATGTGGAAAGAACTACTGAAAAGAGAGGGAAAAGAAGAGAAAAAAGTCGAGACTTTGACTGGGATCTCCGAGAAGAAAGTGAGTCAAATAATCGCCAAGTTTTTTCTAAAATTTAATCTTAGATTAGAATCTTTAGATTATAACTATTTTAAAGCACTAGATTTTATTATTTGATAACTCTTTAGGTGACAGAAGAAACAAAAAAACCATCGGAGACAGCAAAAGTCGACACGAAAAGCACTGGAACAACAAAAAGTACAAAAGAAAATGAGAAGAAGGAAAAGGAAAAAGAAAAGGAAGAAAGGAAGAAAGGAAAGAAAGAAAAGAAAGCAATGGATTCATTGTCAAAGGAGATGAATGAATTGAAAGAGGTGGGTTTTATGGGTACAATGAGAGATTCCTACCAGGGTTGATCCTCAACGTCTAAGCCATGGCTGGTTACATCAAGCTTGGCCTAACCATAAGCTTTTTGGGCTAGTCTAGTCCTGGCCTTGACTTAGCCTTGACTTAGCTGGCTTTTCTAAACCAATGGATGAACTTACCTTGACTTAGCTAGCTTGCTTATCACCAGAGCTAGTCATAGTTGATCCTGGCTGACTTACAAAACTTTCTAGGCTAGGCCAGGACAAGCCAGTCATGAACAATCATTCTGATGAGTGTGATCTGGCTCTAGTCTGGAAATTCGGTTCTAGAATAGCCCTGAAAACTATTTTAGGACTAAATTTTCATAAAACACTTATAAAACTATTTAAACAAACGCGAATCCGTATTTTCTCTAATAGTAGCGCCTGAGCGTCGTCTAAATTGCTCGAAATCTCTACAAAATCTCATTGTCAGCTACATTTTCCGACATCGATAGGTTCTGATAACCGCTTATCAAAACCTATCGATGTGGGGTTGGAAAATGTAGCTGACAATGAGATCTTGTAGAGGATTAGAGTGTTGAGCTTCTGTGAAAACTTTGAAAGCCGTAAAATAGTCATCAACTCGGCTCGCCTGGGTGCACTACTATCAAGAGAAAATAGGGTATTTAAATATGAACAAAAGATTTGCGATTCTTTACTGCTCGAAATCTCGAAAACCGTTTATCAGAACCTATCGATGTCGGAAAATGTAGCTGACAGTGAGATCTTGTAAAGGATTAGAGTGTTGAGCTTCTTCAAAAGCTTCAAAACCGTAGAATAGGCATCAACTCGGCTCGCCTGGGTGCACTATTAAGAAAAAACACTTTATTTTAAAATCAAAAAGATAATTTTCAGAAAATCAACAATAAACGGAGAAAACTTTTGGAAATTCTCGATAAAAAGTACTATTTGTGGAAGAAATATGAAGAAGCGCTGATTAACGGAACTTTTCTAAAGCTCAAACAAAACTATCCTTTGGCATCATCTCTGGAACAGTTTAGTTTAGAGAATTTTTGATTTTAAAAACGTTTTCCTTTTAGCAATCGATTGTTATATGATCGTTTTGATGTAATCATTGATTATCTAGAAGAAATATTGCCAAAATATTTGATTTCATTGAAGATTTCACGAAAATGTAAGTGTTTCAAGTATTTCTTTTATAATATCTATTTTCTAAACCATTTCCCCTATCTCTTTCAATCGTAGTCTTGTCTTTTTTTGATTCTATAAGAGTTCACAAAGGATAATAAGTTATAAAAAGTGGATAGGTTGGATAAAAAAATAGATACCGTAAATACCGTAATAGTATTAGGGACTTGCAAAAGAAACTGCGGATTATAACCAACATTTGAACAACCCAAAAATCAATAAGAAAACAACTCTATTCCAAAAGATATTTGCCATTATTATCAACTATATTCTTACATTTTTTGCGTAGACTTCGGATGTCTGATTCGAAAAATTCGGGGTCCTGCGATGCAAAGTAGTCTTGGACCCAAATTTCGACTTCTTCAGGATTGTTAAACTTTAGATTTGCAAGAGAGTGTTGCATAGACAGGAACAAATGGTAATCGAAGGGAGCGATATCAGGCGAATAGGGCGGATGAGGCACAAGTTTCCAGCCTAATTCTTCTATGGTGTTTTGAGCCAAGTTTGATGTGTGTACCCGGAAATTGTGAGCGAGTAAATGGATTGTCCTTGGATTAACACCTCTTTCTCGTAGAATTTCATCAACTTTCTTCAGCTCTTCGGCGTAGATTTGAGAAGTTATAGTATTCGGCTCATTCGGGCTCAAGTTTGAGTTGGATCCAACTCGACAATCTCCAGCAACTCCGCATTATCGAAGACGACTGGACAATATCCATCTTCCAAGCTGCCATCCCCTTCACGAAAACGTCGAAACCATTCCTGGCAAGTCCTTTCACTCAAAATGTTTTCTCCGAATGTTTCACAAAGATTCCGGCGCGACTTCGATGCTGATTTCTTCATTTTGAGGTCATAGAGAAGGCACGCTCGCAAAATGAGTTTTTGATCCGTCATCTTCTACCGAAGATTATGTAATATTTAATGATAGCAATAGTTATGAAAATAATTAAAATGAGTAAGCAATAATAATACAATATAATACAATTTAAACCGGACCATCACACTTTCAAATAAAAAAAACTTTGGTCCTCGGAAGTAATCCGCAGTTTCTTTTGCAAGTCCCTAATACCTTGTATAATGACGGGGGTGGCCCCATAATGACGGTGCGGAGTGTTGCGTAGGCTAGCTTTGAACGAGTTTTTCTCGACACTGGTTTATGCTACAATGTTCGCTTAGGTATCAAAAAATAACTGAAATTCAGGGCTATTTTTTGATACCAAAGACACATTTTTTGAAAGTACGGGTGGTTTGAAAAAAATTAAATACTAAAAAAACTTTTGCGACTACCCGACTGTACGAGGAGGGGTGGGGTACTATTAGGTTGAAGAAAAAGTAATGTCGGTTTTTGTCACGAAACTGTTTATTGCTAAAAGCATAAACAAACGCAGATCAATCAATGAGATATTCTCAATTATTATTAATGACTTGTTCCCATCTTTGTCGCAAGTCCCTGATCCCATTCTCAAAAAAAAATGGGGAGTTTTCGAGCCAAAATAAGTGTGGACTGCTTTTTTTGATCTGTGCATGAGTCTCGAACTTTTCTCCCATAAGAAAACTCTTTAACGAGCGAAACAAAAAATAATCTGATGGGATCAGGTCCGGACTATAAGGAGCGTGAGGCAGACCAACCAAGTTTCCAACCAAGCTCGTCGATTTTCCCCTTATTTAAAATCATACCACAAAGCGGCTCGAAGTCGAAACTTTTCCTCTTGCATTTTGTACCTGAAAATATAGTTAAATTTGTAAAAATTTGTAAAAATCAAATATTAGGTTGGTAAAAAAGAAATGCGCGTTTTCGTTAAAAGTTTATTTTATTATAAAAACAAGATAACAATACATTAACCCAAAAGGTATTCGCCATCTGCATCAATGACTTGTCGCCAACGTTCACGCAGAGAATGGATGCCCTTCTTGAAGAACTCGACCGGCTGCGACTCGAAGAAGTTGGACATCCAAATTTGGACCTCGTCGCGGTTCTTGAACTTTTTCTCGGCCAAGGAGTGGTGCATTGATCGGAACAGATGGTAGTCGGAAGGCGCCAAGTCTGGGCTGTATGGCGGATGAGACAGGACTTCCCAGCCCATTTCTTCAATTTTCTGCTGGGTGATTTTTGCGACATGCGATCGAGCGTTGTCGTGGAGGAATTTTGTCGACGCCGTATCCACACCTTGACGTCGCAGCGCCTGGTCCACGCGGTTCAATTGGCCTTGGTAGAGGTTCGCCGTAACTGTTTGACCCGAATCCAGAACCTCAAAGTACACCAGGCCTTTACTGTTCCACCAAACACAAAGCATCACCTTTTTTCCGTGGATTTCCGGTTTTGGAGCTTCACCGGGGTCCAACCACTGCCGCTTTCTTGCTGTGTTGTCGTATTGGATCCACTTCTCATCCGACGTAACAATGGAGTCGAAAAATTCACTGTTCTTGGCGCGGTGAGTGAGAATTCCGGCGATTGCGGTGCGTGTCGCCTTGTTTGCGTCGGATAGCTTATGCGCTACCCATTTTCCGCATTTATTCGTCTTGCCCATGCCATGCAGATGGTTCTCAATGGTGACATGAGTGCAGCCGAACTGTTCTGCCAGGTCGCTAGTGGTTTGGCGTGGATCCGACTCAATGGCTTCCTTCAATGCGTCGTTGTCGATGATTTGAGGTCGACTCCCGTGTTTTTGGTCTTCCAAGCTTTCGTCGCCGTCTCGGAAGCGCTGGAACCATCGTTTACACTGACTTTCGTCGTTTACACTGACGTTTACACTGACTAGAGCATCTTCGTCAAACACTTGAGATAGAGCGCGATGAGCTTCAGTAGCCGATTTGCCTTGTTTAAATTCATACCACAAGCAGACCCGCAAGCGAAATTTTTGGTCCGTCATTTTCTAAACACTCTTTCTTGTAAAAAAACAAAGTAAATATAGACAAATTATATATCAAACGATGCGCAAGAACACGCTCTTTCCAATAGAATAAACTATTTTAAAAATCTTTTAATAAAAATACAAATCAACAAACACAACGCTCATTTCTTTTTTACCAACCTAATATAATATGAAAGTATATCTAGCTGATATCAATTTGAAAAAAAAAACGCATAAGCAAAGAACTGGAAAATTGCCAACAACGGGAATTGAAAACCGACATTACTTTTTCCTCAACGTAATATATTAATTGACAATAGGAGTACTTCTTTTTGATTCAAACCCTCTAAAGAACAAAGCCAGTTTTGTGAAAAAGATTAAAGGCTTACGTGTAATGGCAATTACTGTAAAAGCTCTAACAGAAGCTCAAATCCTTGACCTCTGTTTCCATTTCACTTCTATCTCAATCATTTCTTCTTCTGATTTAAATCTAAACCTAGATTACTTTTTCCTCAACCTAATATCATTATATACTCAACAGTATTTACGCTAAGATTCATGGGAAAACTTTATTTTTACAAACATTTTTCTTTTTTGTGAAAAAGCCGGTTTTTTGACAATTTTGAGAGTTTTGAACTTACGCTCTATCTAAATTTCTTTAATTTCTGCATTTCCGTTAGACTTTTTTAATGAATTGATATTTAGTTATCCTTTCTTTTTGTTTAAATCTTCAATTTTGGGAAGCTAACTCTATTTTGGCCAGACTAAACTTGTCCCTAAAGTGACTCGATTCCTTTTTTTGGTCACTCGCATTTCGCCCTCGAAATTTCTTCAATGCGTCGATCAATTGAAACACGTTTTAGCCTATTTTGTAGAGGAGATTTACAACTTTCAAATCGTTTATAACATTCATCGATTCTAGTTTATAACATCACGTTTCTATCGTTGGAAATTTATGAAAATGTTGAAATCCGCATTTCTTATGCATTTACCTAATATAAGAGTTCACAAAGGATATTAAGTTATAAAAAGTGAATAGATTTGATAAAAAATAGATAAGATTACGATAGAAAGAGAAAGAAGACAGGGTTTAGAAAATCGATTGAAGTTTGGCATCAAATTTTGTGCTAAACTTTCATCATTTTCTATATGATTTAAACTTTAGCAATAATTGCGGAAGGTCGCCGACTTGAGCTGAATGGATTAAAAGGAGAAAATGTTGAATTTGTAATATTAAAAACAGACTTTTTTTATTTTATTTTCACTTTAGCACCACTATTTCAACTTTCTGAGAATAGAGAATGTTGATTGGAAATTTTTGATTTTCCATGCGCCTCTTTTATTCTTTCCTGATCGAAATGTCAATTCTATTTGGTTTGTTTTAAGGATAATGATTATGATTTAAACTTGTATTGGGTCTTTTCTGAAGACAATTGTCACTTTATTTCAATTCTTCAGGATCTCCAGCATCGAGAAGTGTCTCTACACTTCACCGGACAAGGAAATCAATGATGAGGCAAAGAGAAATGTTTGTGATTTGTAAAATTCCGTTTAACATTTGATTCTTAGATTATATTGATGTGGAACAATTTGAAATGCGATAAAGAGATGCAATTTCACCAAGAAAACCAAATAAACGCAGTGTTCAAACTGGAATTTGATGTACCGCCAGAACACAAAGCATTTATTGATGTTAGTTTTTTTTTGCAGATCTTGATGTCAAGGATGTTCTAACTAGAAAGTTTTCGATCAGGTTTTGGTCGGATCGGATCAGATCCAAAACAGTGGTCCATCGGATCGGATCAGATCCAAAACAGTGGTCCATCCGATCGTATCAGATTCAAAACAGTGGTCCATCGGATCGTATC